GTAGGGTGTCCCCAACACATGAAGCAGAAGGGAGGTGAAACCACCCCCAATGGGGCAAAGAGCGAAAATAATCTGATGGGAAAGATGGTGGGACTGGTGGCAGTGATTGGGGCGGAGTGACGGTGGTAGTGGGGATTGATGGTGGTAGTGGGGATTGATGGTGGTAGTGGGGGGTGACGGTGGTAGTGGGGGGTGATCCTATCTCCATTCTACAACAACATTCTTTTTATCACCATTTGTGCCTCCATCGACGGTAACTCCCCTCACTTCCTGTCTCTCTTATCCAGACAGGAAGTCCAAAGGTGGGAAACAAAAAACTCTTGGCCGAGATCGGCCCCTCAATCCCGCTAGTATTACGTTTTGTTGGCTTCTGGCGCCATTGATGGGTAGTTGGCACCCTCAATAATTCTGGTCGGTCTTCAATATCCAGTTTTATCCAACCCTTCAAAACGCGTCACCGTGTTCGACTTTGTCAAAGATTTTGGGTCAAATCACAAAAATTTTGGACTTGTGTGAGGAACCTCAAGTCTGTATTCTCCCCCCCTCCCCCTGTTACTGAGGGGCGCCCCCGGTTTTGTGGAACAGGACCCAATGGTAAAATGGCCCACCGAAAATCTGTACCTGGCGCCTCCCCCCCCTTCCCTCGGAGTCGCACACAACGGGCATAGATGTAAAATAATTTGGGGGGTCCAATTCGGATATATATCTCATTTGCATATTGGGGGGCGTGGGTTGCCGCCGCCTTTTGGAAATGGAATCGATTGGCGATTATCGAGATCCATCAGGAACTGAAGAGAAGGCCGTTTTTGGGGGTTGAACCAATTTTCAGCCAATCGTTTCACTCGGGACTGATGACCTCACTGTGGTATGATTCATGTAGTGGAAAAAAAGGGAGGGGCCGGCGCTATGATGTCATTGCGTGCTTTATAATAGATGGGCGGAGTCTTATCATTTCTTAATCTAATTCAATTCTGATTGTACAATAAAGAGGAAGCTGAATTTTTGAATGTTTTTGGTTTGGGGGCCGGAGGACACAATGTGCATGTCTGTAGAATATTATTGACAGAACTGAAATCCAATGAATGGAAGGGGCGGGGCCAGGGACAGTCAGGTGGGGAGAAGCTCACAGTGTGCAGAGGAAGCAATTTCAGTCCAGGAGAGGAGCCGGTACAACTGAAGGGAAGGACGGAGGTCAGATAGAAGACTGAAGGGAAGGACGCAGGTCAGAGAGAAGACTGAAGGGAAGGACGCAGGTCAGAGAGAAGACTGAAGGGAAGGACGCAGGTCAGAGAGAAGACTGAAGGGAAGGACGCAGGTCAGAGAGAAGACTGAAGGGAAGGACGCAGGTCAGAGAGAAGACTGAAGGGAAGGACGCAGG